GAAAAAAAATGCTTGATGCCGCCTGGTTCACGAAACCAATTTCGAATTTCAGTTTAGCAGGCTCGGTTTAGGGACGAATGGTTATACGCTAAAGGTTAAAGTTTTGAATCTGCAGAAACCAGTTTTTGCACTGTTTGCTCAACTGTCAAGTCAGTATCGGCGCGTGATTGCTTTTGAGCAGATTTAAATAAATGGCCAGCGCACTGACTGCCGGTGCGAAGATCCGTTTTTTGCACAGTTCCCCGCAGTTTTTGTCGCTACCGGCACCGGTTTTTTCCGCAAATGCTTCTAGCTAAGAGAATTGAGACTGACCAGCAGAGCTATCTAAAAGCATCCCTTTAAAATTTCAGTTTACTAGCATTCCTGGTTCCCGTGTTAGCAACTTACCCGAAAAAAACTTTGGTGGCCTTTACGTGGTCACCATGCACACCTGGGGGCTGGGTTTGAACTCATTAATACCTACTTGGACGAGGAACATCCCCTTAAAATTCCAGTCTTCTAGCTTCTCAGGTTCCCGATCCAGTAACTTACCCGAAAAAACCTTCACGAGCTCGTACATGGGTACCACGCGGGTAAGCGCGCCCATTTTGGAGATGGAGGCCCATACACGCATGTAGATTAAACTCCCAAAGTTTCAGCCCTGTAGCTTTTGTAAGTCTCGAGATGAAAAATCGGTACACACGCACAGCGCACACACAGACAACCCTCATCAATACGTGTTTTCTGCACTTTATAGATGCAAAACGCACAAAAAGGAAGCCGTTGATAGCTTACCAACGACTTCTTGATGTGGGCAACGTTCAGTATTCACAACAATTTTCATTTTTCTTAAAGTGAAGAGCGTTTTGATTTAAAAAAAAAAAATGTTGAAGGTGGTGGACTCTGTTGGACCAAAAAGTATTGAGCCAGAAAGCAGCACGAAAATGGAACGAATGGATGCCGCTTCAGCATATGGCGATGTACATTTTGTTGATGGGAAACGAGTGGCAATCATGGCTTATGCGATAGTTAATGATGAGACGCACTGGAAAAAACAGAAGCCCGAACAAAATCGTGAGCTTCTTCCGCTTCTGTCTGACTTTTGAATTTTTAATGGCAAGTTAATGTTTTATGTTCATTGCAGAAGCTGGCAGTGTCGTGAAGGGGAAGCCAGTTGCGAAGCCCTGCAAGCCAGAGCGTAGAAAGGTTTGCCATTTTGAAAGTTTTCAATTCTAACGGCTCACAAGTGCTGTCTCGCTTGCCCATGAAGAAATTACTGATTTTAAGCACAGACTGATTTTTAAGGAAAAATTCCTTATGAATTAGAATGTCATTAATTTTCAGGTAAAAAAAGAGGAAGAAATATCGGCCTTGGAAGACAGCGGATCTTTGCCATTTGATTTGATCCGTAAACGATTAAAGAAGATGAAGCATGAGGCAATCATTGTTAAGGAAGATCAAGTTTTAAAAACCATTCGAAATCCTGTTTCGCCAGATATGTACATGACAGAACAAGTTATTCAAGCGACACATGTTTTTGAGGAGGTACATTCATTTCAAGCTTTTTTTAACAATTACGTTTTTGTTAATTGCTTTATTTTTAAGTTAATTTTTCGATGTTTTTGTATTGCGCAATTAAAAAAGAAGCATATATTTCTAACATATTAGAAATTAGTCGGTTTTGTTTTAAAAATATACGCAACTACTATTTTTTGAGAGAAATTGCGCCTGATAACACTGATTAAAGTGAGTAGTAGCGGACATCATTTTTGCCATACTTGTGGTGAGTCTGCTCGTGATGAATTCAGTCTGTTAATTTTAGCTTCTAGATTTATCCTTTCGCAAAAAAATATTAAAAAAAAAATTTTGTTCGGTTTTTGACTTGAGGCAGTTTCAGTTAAGATTCATAAGATGTTAATTTGATTTTTTGTTTTTTACAAGTGCGCGGTCAGCTCTGTCATCTCGAAATTCCAACTTCCAGGTGCCGTAGGTTGCAGTTGAATTATTGGGTCAGAAACATACATGGATACGTTTTAAATTTATACGAAAACGTTAAAAAATCAATAACTCACATTAAAACTACAAAAAAAGACGGGGTGTTTTTTTTATAGGTGGCAAATTTCATCAGCAACTTTTTCAACTATATTTTTAAACTGTACTAAATCCCTTTTTTTCTTGCAGGGTGGATTTGAACTTGGGCTTGAAAAGCCTTTCTCGCCGAGATCGGAAGATGACCAAAATAAACACGAAGCGCATCTTAGTCTACTGCGACAAAGTATCCTCGATGAATTGGTTGACACTGGATGCTCGTATCTTTTGTTTTTTTGATTAAAGATTTTTTTTTCATGTCTAACATGTTGTTGGACTTTCGAGTGCTTCTTCTGTTGGGCGAATTGTTTCAGTATATTAAGTAAAACAGTTTCGCGACTTGTAAGTGTTGCTATGAGAAAGTCAAAAACCAACTTGGCGACTTTCAAAAAAGCGAAACAGTGGGCCAAACGCCTGTACAGCCTAGACATTTGGTGTTAATTGGGTATGTACAGTTTAGGACCAAACGACATGCCGGATTTGTTCGGTCTTACATCATTTCTCTAAAGCTGTTTTGCAGTGCCGAGAAGCATCTTGCTCTTTTCAACGGTTACTTTGATGATGAGTTGGAACGACGATCAGCATCGGCATCGGTAGTGCGCAGCACGGACGACATATTTGAAGCTCATGTTGGTGACGATAATGATGATATTGACCATCGAGCTGATGTTTGTGCTGATGATGTTGGTGGTGGCAGCGGTGAGGAAATTGCTGATGATAATGACGACACTGTTAGTTTTTTCCTAGTTTGTTGTTCATGTTCAGTGATGCTGTTTGATTTATCAGTTCCGTGATATTTTCAAAAACGTAAAATTTTGATGCTTTCACCGCAGATATCTTTACAGAGGATAATTCGAGTGTATGATGTGCTGGGAGCTAAAGCCATGTCCAGTTTTTGTTCAGAAGCAGAAGCCGGCGCAGACGAAGCTGAGGTAAGATCTGCTTATGCATAACGAATAGATTTTGCTAGCAGCCGTTGTTTGTAGTAGTTTTAATGGTTGTGCTTATTGCTGGTACTTTGATTAGCTCTCTTCTGACAGATAGTACAGGTGGTGCTATTGTGTTATGATTGCGTTGTACAGGCTGTTTTTTTAGTTTCGAATTGCAGTTAGCATACTGTTAAATCCCAGTAGGGAAATTCGTCGCGATTTACGCTAGAAGGGATTGATTGATATTTAGCACGCTTTGTAGTCTGACGACTTCAAGAGATTCCGAAAGCACTATTCATACTTTATTCACTAAATTTAGTGGAGCAGTCCAAGGCGAGTTTTGACCAGCAGATCTTAACAGGTCTTCACTCACTCAGACTGCGAAAGTCTAAATTTCCAACATTCAGCAAATGAGTGTCTATCAGTAACATGGAACAGTCCTGGGTGCCCGAACGACTGATAAATTGTAGGATTTCATTTCTTGCCTGTTAGTTCATTTTGAGAATATTTTGTTTTGCAGATTTTTGGTGTGAAGTATTCGGTCAGGCAGAGACGGATAAATGCACCTGCTGTGAAACGAGCTATTGGAAGTATTTTATCGAATCCAAAGGTGAGCTTAATTTGCTGGATTTATCACATATGCTAGGTTAAACAAAGGGATATGAGTTCTATTACAGAACTTCAGTCTTTGAGCTTCCCACAGCCACACTTTTTTGTGGAAGCACTCAATTTAGTTCGTCCTTTCTGACAGTTTTAAAAGTCTTTGTTTATTTTCTTATGTTTACCATATTGTCTTTCTGCTGAATTTCGTTCTCTAAATATGATCAGCTCAATTTCCTCACTGCCCTTCTAGCCAAACCGGGTTCACATCAAGCAATAATAAATTGCCAGCGCACTGGCTGCCGTTGCGAAAGTGCGTTTTTTACGTAGATCTTCGCAGGTTTTTGTCGCTGACGGCACTGTTTTTTCCGGTAGATGTTTCTGGCTAAACGAACTGAGACTGTCAGGAAATGCCCCCTTAAAATTTTAGCTTTCTTGCAACATCCGCCAAAAACTTTCAGTGGCTCGTACGTGAGAACCACGTCTAACTGGGAGCAGAGCTTGAAGCTACTAAGTTCTACATGAACTGGGAACATTTCCTTAAAAATACAGCATTCTAGCTTTTCTGGTTCCCGAGTTAGCAGCTTACCCGCAAAAAACTTTCACGATCCCGTACGTGGGATTCACTTACGTAAAAGCGCCTATTTTGGTGCCGCATGTGCATGTAGTTAAGTTCCCAAAATTTCAGTTTTGTAGCTTTTGCGGGTCTGGAGATGAAAAATTGGCGCAGACGCACACAGACAACCCCTCGTCAGTATGCGTTTTTGCATTGCATAGACGCAAAAAAAAAACGCATAATAAACTAACAACAAAATTTCTTATGCTGAATAAGTACATCTGAAACTAACCGGTTTTGCTATATTTTTTTTTTTTTAGCTTGACGCAGATGCACTGAATGCTGAGTTATCCGCAGCGCAACAACTTGGGGTGATCAGTTTAGAAGGTCACAATAACCTAAGCATTGTGAGCGACAGCGGTGCTCAGGATCTGTCATCAGCTTCGGGCAATCGTGTAGAACTGAGTGTCGAAGAAGAGCAGCTTCAGCTAAGAGAAGAAAAGGTAATTGTCGCTTATATATGGTTTTAAAGAAAATTTTCAAGATCCAGCATTGGAAATATCTTTGTGTCAGTGCACACTTTCGGATTCCAATATCAAATACCCAAGTCAAAAATCTCCGTGTTTGTTGTTATTAAAAAACACTCGAAAAGTATCCCGAGTTGTAGCAAAATACCAGCGACAACTGTATGTTGGCAAGGCTATCAGTGACTCCCTTTTTGTAGGGTTGCTTACAAAAAAGCTGATGACGGATTGGCTACCTGACATATGCCAGTACCAATTTACCATCGAAACGAATGAACGAATCGTAGAACAATTCCGGCGGTAGGGTTGAACTTTCAGCTTGTTGCACGGCAACAGTTCCAGTCCGTTGCGCAGTGCCTGTCGGTAGTTCCAGTTCCATTGCCCGTAAATTCTTTGCTTTTCGGTTCAAAGTCAATGCCTAGACCTCCTTTGCGATCCACTCTGTGCTAGAAGTCAAGGCAGGACTGACTGTGCGCTGTCGAGGCTGTTGAGGGCTGCTTAAGAAAAGCCGATGCCAGTCGTGAATCTTTGACAGTTACTGGAACTCGGCTCGGCCACTCCTATAAGACGCTTTCGTTTCTCTGCCAATGCTGTTTCAGGTCGCCGCTTTTCAGCAGTTCGTGGTATGGTGCTACCGAGCGTTATCTAGCATTGCCCGAGCGCTTTTCAGCGCTGGGTGGCTGAATAACCCGGTCGAGAGATGGTGGATGGGAGTTAATAATCCCCCTCCCTTCGTTATGAGCTCTAGGGTGCAGCGCAGTCACTACCCTGACTTTCGTCCTCCCTCTCTTGGGCCTCGCCGTCTCCTCCTATCCTCTTACCTCCCAGTTGTTGCAATTCACTTCCCAGTCCGGACGAGCCAAGTTAAAATACTGGCTTTTGTAGTGATTAAAGTGATTGCCGATTTTCTCAGTGACATAGTAGGGTCTTTGATTTTCTGGACAAGAGAAGCAGTGCTTACCAATTGAGCATACTTAACTTATTTTTTGCTTTTAGGAGATGAATGATGATCCAACGTGCGAATTACGGCATGCTGAAGTAGCAGTAACAGATTTCCAACTTTCCGGGCGACACACTTTTTCATCCGTTGTCGCGCGTCTTCCTTCGTATGTGGCCGGTCGAACGGCTGATGATCTCAGTCCTATCAATGCTTTCTCGGTGCTTTTGCATCTGTGCAATGAAAACGTAAGCTCTTTAGACTGTTTTACTTGTGGCAGAGACATGAAATATAGTATTATTTCTGATAGCAAATTTAAAAAGAAGCAAGAAACTAGAGTTACATATTAAAATGATAACAAAGTTGTTGAGGGGGCGCATTATGCATTTCTTCGTGCCTACCTGCCTGCCACTCGCTTGCATAATGTGCAACTACGAGCTCTGTTTTGATTCTCATTTAGGCAATTTCTGCATGCAAATTTGGGTTTTCTGGTATCAGGCCTGTTTTCAGCGGAGCATTCGCTCGTAAAAAGAAATGGATAATGTTAGAAAAAGGTTATTAGGCAGTGATCCAGAAGTTTTTTTCGATTTATGGCCCCTGCATTTTTTTTCGATGGTTTACTGGAACATTGACACTGTTCAGGCGCATTTCATAATGTCGTTTTTCACTATGCGGCTAGCAACTTTTCCAGTTGTTTTGACCACTGCTGCATTACCTGATGATCAGTCTAATGACACACCTGGCGTTCTTTTAAAGAGGTTGCTGATTCGATTATTTGTATACATTAACAATACAGTGAGATTTTTTCGTTTTTAGCGAAATAATACTTTCTTCAGAATTTGGAACTTTTGCAACGGAAAAACGAAAATGGTTTGATAAAGGAATCAGGAATGGGTGATTTTACAATTGTAAATGCTCGAAAAAAAGATGTGAATTATAAGCACACGACCTCGGAACACCGATAATTTAGGTTATGCACTTCTCTGATGTTCGCCTTTTTTACTGTATTCTTTGAAAAAGATTTGTCATCGTGATGAGATAGAATTGTCGAGATCTTCGCCTCATCACCGTTTTTTCTTTTTTTTTTTCTTGAACAACGTAATTTATTAGGCAGCTGAATGTTTTTGTAGTTTATAGGACAGAGTGATCTGTGAATGGAATTTGCCTCCGTGTTATACAGCCTTTGCGATTGTCTGTATATCTCGATTCTTTGAGTCTCTGATAGCTAGGCATTTCACTCTGTCATGCTTTCAGCCTAGTATATCATGGTGAAGTTAGCAAAAGGTGGTGAGCAGCGTATGAGCTGCTTTTAGTGATACTGTGATTCGTTTAACGATAAATTCCTTATTGTATTATCAACCACTGTAATGAAACGTAATGACCTGATCATAATGAAGCAGTGCCATTAGTGATGAAGGGGGGGGGGG